TAAAAAAATAAAAACACTTCCCTTGAAAAAATAAAAAATAAAAAAAAATAAGTGAACCTAAGAATCTATGTAAGATTAAAAGAAGTTATCTCAAAATGAAAGAATTATAGGTAATGTTACTAAATAAATACAAGACATTCAGTTAAATTTGAATTTCAGATAAATAATATTTTAGTATATCTTATGTAATATTGAGGACATGCTTATATTAAAAACTTATTTATTTTTTTAACTTGCTAAATCCTGAACTTTTAGTTGCTAAATCTGGGTAAACTTGGCAATAGATATTTTTCTTTTCTTTCATCCCCCCCTTAATGGTATTTTCTAAAGTTTCTATAATATGAACAATGCATACAATGAGAAAAAACAAAAATAGGGGTTTTTTAAAAAACCATTTAAGAGAGAAGTGCAAGCCGGGCTCGGTGGCTCAGCCTGTAACCCCGCACTTTGGGAGGCTGAGGTGAGTGGATTGCCTGAGCCCACGGGTTCGAGACCCGCCTGGACAACTTGGTGAGACCTCATCTCTACAATAAATCAAAAATTAGCTGGGCATGGTAGCACATGCCTGTAATTCCGGTTACATGGAAGGCTGAGGCGGAAGGATCGCCGGAGCCCAGCAGGTCAAGGCTGCGGTGGCCGGGAGCGGCCACTGCATTCCAGTCTGGGCAACGGAGTGAGACTCCAACTCAAAAAAAAAAAAGAGAGAGGGAGAGAAGTACATCAGCGTTAAAGTGATATGCTTATTTTTCTTTGATAAGAAACTTTGCTTACCCAGACCATGGTCTCTAGACCAGGCCTGGGTCTCCCCCAGGAGCATGCTATACATGCAGCAACTCAAACCTCGGCTCAGCCCTACTCTATCTGAATCTGTATTTTAACAAGATTCCCAGGAAATTCCTAGGAGAAATTCTAAGTTTCCAAAATAATTGAATCCTTTCAAAGAAAAAAAAATTCCTTCAAGCAGAGTAAAATCTAGCCTGTGTTAAGCAATCTGACCTGATCTTAGGAACATCAGTAGGAAAGCCCTCCACAAGGCAAGGAGCCTGGGCCCATCCAGGCCTGGGCTACCAGGTACAGGTGCACAGGTTGCCCCTAAGTGACTCCAGAAGGAACAGGGACATAGACTGCTATGAGAATGGTGCCCCTGGAGTTGTGCAACAGAGCAGCCCCTACCAGCTACCCCTGGAGTCCTCCCCTAGCAACAATGCTCAAAAGCACAGGAAATCGAGGGTGAGGTCGGTGGGGGCAGGGGGGAGGGTGGGTTGGAGGGAAGAAGACGACAGAGGGAAAATGAGGAATTTTTAAATGTTGTTTTGGAGAGCTTGAGTTTTTATTAATTTGTTTGTCAGTTGTATGTGAGCAAGGGGATGATTGATGTTTTCTGAGTTTAGGTCTGTTGGTTTGGGTTTTTTTTTTTTGAAAGCAGGATTTACTGAGGGGACAGAAAAGTTCTCACATTGGGAGGGGACCCCAGGGGGTTCCCCGGGGTTTTTTAAATTAAGAATCTTGAATCTGTCAGTGCTAGTGAACACTCAGCTAAACAGATGAGATCAACTCTGAATGAAATTACTAAAATCCTTCTTTTACCTGATTCCAAACATTAATATTTAATAAACATGCACAATTTTGTTTGGCTATTGAAAACGCTTCCAAATTATCTTTTACAACTAATAACAAACCCTCTTTTGTACCAGCAATTCTAGCCACACTTTGGAAACACAGAGGTCATGTGAAAAAGGAACATAATGTCAATGCTCTGCCCTCTGGAGTGACCAGTTCATTTTTGAAAATGAGCCAAAAATGCCTGAAAAACTGACTGTTCAAACTCCTCTGCCTCTGAGCCACCTTGGGCCGTTTCTCGTTCTCCCCATCCTCTTGCTGGGGTGCCATCATTCAAGGGCTTGTTTACTTATTGTCTGTTTCTCTCGTTGGAATGTAAGTTCCACAAGAACAGGAGTTTTCATATGACACGTTCAGTAGTGTATTCCCAAAGCCTGGAAATGCCTGAGACACCCTGCATTCAATCAACATTTGCAGAAAAATGAAAAGAACAGGCTACCCTCCAGCTTCCAATGAGCAGTGTTCTCTTTGATCGCTGTTTGTTAATTTCATATTTCTTTGTCCTCCCATCATAGATTGCTATTTTAGTCAAGTATCTTGAGTATTGGTGCTTCATCTGGCACTAGATAACTCAGGCCTTGTCATGCAGTTCAGAGTAAAAACTTTTCTGATAACTTCTGACACCACTTCTGCCTCCAAGTAAATTGCTTCTTGCTATAATGAAAGCCTCTCACTTTCATTAGCTGCAGTAATATTCTAATCACTCTGTGCTGCAGTCTCAAAGAAAAGAAAGGAGAGGGAGAGTTCCAGAAAACAGTTGTTCTTCTCTTCTTTATAGAAAAGTATGAGATCAAAAGTGCTATTTTAAAAAACTCTCAATTGCCCATGTGCGTGCACGCATACACACACATCCAACATTTTAAAGTGTTCTGCAGAGAGGCAAGGGTATTTCTGGGAAGATGTAGGAAGGAGAGCCCAGTGCATTGTCTCAGGACTCCTAGGCCTGATTCAGAGACAACATTTCAGTAGAACAGAAGATGGAACAGACTGTGGTAAGGCAGAAGTTTCCAGAGACAGGAGATGAGTGACAGGAAATACATCCGTTAACACCTGTAATATGCAGGTAGGTTTGGAAACAATCAGTGGTTGCGCTTGGTTTCCCAGTGGAATCATGGGCAACTCCTTCTGCTTTATTCTCATTACTTGTGAACTGAGTACAACATCCTACCCAGTGGAGACTGCACAGGGATTTGCTAATAAAGGTGAGCAGACAGCTCTATGTGTGACACCTAACAACATTATGCGAATGAGCATAAACACATGGGCTCCAAGGGATGCAGGAGGTCAATTTGGCATTTTCACAGGGACCACGATGAACCATTCCAGCAGGATTAGATTCTAATCCTTTTAAGGGTGTCCATTTAAAGGGATTCCTGGAAAACTTCCCTTTGTCAAGGATGTTTCCTTAAATTTAAGGTGTCCCGATCTGGCAGCTTTAGTACTTGGTGCTTCCACTTCCCTGTGTAGTAGAGACTAGCCTCCTACCCTGAGTAGGAAGGCATGGCCTTCAGAGATGGTGATGCAGTAGCGTGATGGGGAAGAGCCCAGATATTGGATACTGGACTCAGACTCCCGTCAGACCTTGCTCTGTGCTGGCCTCGTGACTTTGAGCAAGTTACAGCCTTAACTCTCTCAAGCCTAAGTTTCTGCTCCTATAAAAAAGTTGTCCCACCAATCCCATAAGGGTGAGTAACAAGTAAATAGTAGCATTATTTTCTGGGCTGTGTAAACTGGGTCATCTAATTTTTATTTATTTACAATTCTAACTTTTAAAATGTTGAACACTTTTGTTTCTCTCTTCTGAACCTACTCCAAATTCTCAATTTTTAAAAAGTATAGCCCTCAACACTGTAAGAAGAAACTAGCTTGGCTGAATAGCCTGGGAAGATTTCATCTTGACTTTTCCCGGGATCTCTGTGCCTAGGGAAAACCATTCAGTGAGAAAAGTTCTATGGCTTTTCTCTAGTTTCTCTGGTTTCTACCTGTGTGCCATGGAAGCCAAGGTCTCACTTCACATCTCTCTGAATTCTTAGAAAGACCAGTGTTCCTGATGTCTCATGCCTCTGTGGTTTCCACTAAAACCTCGGGGCACACAGTCCATGACTGTGTAAAACTATGCAGACTAATTCACAGATTCCAACAAATCAAGAATCACTTCTGTAGTCACATGGGGCTAGGGGAAGGCATGCTTTCTCCTATTTTCTGCCTAGCCCGACATATCAAGCAGGGCTAGGTACTATAATTATTTTCCTTAGGGAATTTGGGGTTTACCAGAAAGCAGAAATGACTTGCAGAAGCTTGTTTGGTAAACTTACACCCACTGAAGAGATTTGAGAAGCAATTATACAGAAAAGAAAAGACACTCTCTCCATTTTCCTGCCTCCTAGAAGTCTAGGGATCTCTAGGGAAGGAGCCACATCACCCTCCATTATAGCACCTGGAAGTAGCCAGGTCACAGGGAGAGAAGACTGTGTGGTGTGTGCCTTGGAATGACACTGGAACTCTCAGTACCAACAAAGATCCATATGTTCCAAAAGTGGTTATAAAAACAAAGCTTTAAGGGACCCGAGTGGCAATGCGTCCATGCGTAGAAGCTAGGATGTCTGGAGAGCTGCAATGCTTCCCCCAGTTTCTGGGTACTGTGTAAATCCATGGCATCTGTGCCTCCCAGGGAGCAGGGGATTATCCCTGTCATGTTCCTGAGCCACTAAGGATACAGACTGAGGCTCAAACACCTTTACAGCATAGGGGCTTTATATCTTCCCAGTCACCTACACACTCCTCATCACCTTTGATCCTGGCCCAAAAAAGCCTATGTAAAGCCCATTCTAATACTGTGAATGCAAAGGCTCAGAGAGGGCAAGAGTCTGGCCCTGGGTATCTGTCACCCAATTCTGCATATTTCTTATTACGTCATAATATTGTGTCCGAAATGTTTCAATCTAACCTTGACTTCCAGCATTTCCATGTGAGGGTGTACTGAAATTGAAGCCTCTTTAATGAATAGGCCTGTAGGATATGAAATTGAATTTGAGGCATGCTTATATTTATGTCACAAAAATAAAAACTCAAAACTATGAATATGAAAGAAGACTCAACGATACTATAGCAAAATGGGTTTAGGAAGTGAATGAATTATTTTTTTCTACATTAAAAATTTCCTTTAATGACCATATGTTTACAATGAAAAATACAGATTAATGAATGTTTTCAGGTAGCTTTAGTGTCACACGATTGACCCAATGGCAAGGTAGCTCTTTGGAGCAGAAAGGAGCCCTCCTCACCCCCCCCCC